CTTGCTGGAGAGTTGAAGCCAGGTTCTCATGCTTGTGCTGCAAGCTATTGACACTTAAACCATCTCTCCAGTCCCAGTCCCAGTCCCAGTCCCAGGCCCAGTCTATCCTCTCTTTCCCTTCATCCCTCTCTCTTCATCTTTCTTTCTCTCCTCCCATACATATATACATACATGCGTATTTATATGTTGTACTGTTCACTTCAACACCATATAAACTTCTTGCACAAAATAACCATCCAACAAATCAAAAGAGAGTTAAATAAGAACATCAGATAAGATGAGAATGCCATTAAAAAGTTATTAATTGATAGACATGGCTACAATGTGTTTAGGATAATAGAATTGGGACCATTATTTTGACTCTTTGACTTCCTCCATCTGAACTTTTTCCATCCTGAAATCATACAACTATAAGAAAACCCAAAAACATGCAATTGATTCTTTGTATTTATCAAATGGGGTGTGGGGAGATGGCTCAGTGAAGTTCTACTCAGTATCTTCCACCTGCAGGGATCCTTTGGCATAGAAAAGCTTAAAACAAAATGTCTCAACAGATAAAGTTGCTTCCTGCCAATCATGACAACCCAAATCCCATACCCACATTCTATATGATGAAAGAGGGAACCAACTCCTGCAAGTTGTACTCTGATTGCCCCATGTATGTGGTAGTACAGGTATGCTCATAACCATATATAATAAACAAGTACATGTAAAATAGAAAGGGTTGTTTTCTTACATCACCAAAATGTGGACTGTAGAATCAAACATAGGTTGACTCCAGAAGTCATGTAATTCTTTAATGAATTATAGCCTTCCCTATTGTTTACATGTTCTATATATTTTATATTTAATGTGAATATGTATATTTCCATAAAAATACAAAATGAGTGATAGTTATATGACTTTTCATTGTCTTTTTTTAAGTGTTTGTTATGTAACCAGGCAACATAAACTGACAAATCTCAGCAAAAACAACCCAGAACTGTGCAAGAAGAGGAAGCATAAATTTGAATGATTAAAAAAGTGACAGACATGCTGCCATTTCAAAAATTTGAAAAGTTTCTTCTGAAAGGTTGACTAAGTAGAGGTCACAATAATTTTCTAAAAGGGAAGTTACAACTACAAGAATTCTAATAAAGTATGAGCTCTTGCTTTTATTTCATTGAGATATTTTTTTCTTTTTTCATTAACATTTTATTACAATATATTATTTTCTCCCTTTCTTTTCCTTTCCTTTCCTTTCCTCCAACTCCATCCATGTTCCATCCCCCATTCCCTCTCTTTTTCATTATTGTTACATTCATCATCAGAGGAAACTAAGGCAGGAACCCTGGAGATAGGAGCTGAAGCAGATGCCATGGAAGAACTCTGTGTACTGACTTGACCTTCCTGACTTCCTTAATTTGTTATCTTATACAACCCAGGCCCATTACTCATAGTTGTCTGAGCCCTCCTACATTAATCATCAAGAAACTGTCCTCCTACAAAACAGTCTGATGGAGACAGTTCCTCAGTCAGGAGTCTTTCTTACTACATATGTCCAGTTTTGTGTCAAGTTGACAAAAATGTAAGTAGGATAGAGCTAAACTATGGATAAACACAATTTAGAATTTGTGTATCATTTCAAAGCATCCAATTAAGTTCTAACAAAGAAATAACAGAATGATTTACATTTTATTAAGAAAATGATGTATAAGTAATAGTGTTAAGCAATTGAAGAGAGACTAATAAAAGGATGCTTACTATAGGGGTGATGGAATAAAGATAAACATTATGAATAAATCAGGGGGCTTAATTTCAGGGTTGCATTTTGCATAGAATCAAGTTGTCGAGTGCTAGGAAACGACAGTAAAAAAAGCAGAAGACTAACACTAAGAGTTTCTAGTTGGAGAGTGGACAGCCAATAAAGTACTAAAAATGGAAGAGGAGGAGATGGCTTCTGGTTTAAATGATTTGCAGATACATTGTTTCATTTTCAATGATACACCATACACTACTATTGCTCTGCTGAAAGAAAGGCCACTGTATGTGAAGATATACATAGTATAAGACTTCACTCTCCCCTCCCCCCCTCCCAGCCCCAATGCTTTTCATCCAGGTCATCTGCCCAAGGATTGAATACAGCTGGGATGATGTTGAGACACTTTCCTGTAACTTTTGAATACTTTTGACTAGGAGGACCCTTTAAGGATGCTAGGCATTTGCCAGGTTGGGAGAGAAGGGCAATTGAGACCATGGATGGAATAGCATGGTAACAAGAAAACAAGCATTTTTTGATAAGTGGTTTAAAATACACACACATACACACACACACACACACACACACACACACACACACACACACACACACCACACACACACACACACACACACACACACACACACACACACACACACCACCACCACCACCATCACCACCATCACCAACCAAAAAACATGCAGTAGAAGAAGATAATGTAAGTATTCACTGTAGCTGTGGCAAGCCACGCTGGGGACATTGACATTAAACATTGGCATTCCAACAAATAGAAGGAACTCTTAACAGTTCTGACAGGCACTCAGTGGCAAAGTTCCATTATGGGGCTTATCTCATGAATTCAGTCATTTCACTTGTTCAATTCAGATCTGAACTCCAATAATACACCCGGCTGGAAGGAAGCAGACAAGGGTGCCCTGGAATCTTAGTTTACTGTTATCAAAACAGGCAAGTACTTTCAAAGGACAGTCAGGTAAAATGACACAGAGAGGCATGACATTTGAGACGACCTCAGCTATAGGTTGAAGATATAACCTTCTGTACTTCTTGCATCCTGTTTCTTTTTGGGGTAGCAGTTAAACTTAAAGGAGAAAAATATATAAATAGTAAGTAACTTGAATAGACATTATTTGTAAATGACAATGGTCATTAGTGTAATTTTAAATAGTGACTGCAACAAAACACATTTATTTTGGTCTCGATTGCTGTGTATTTCTGCAGGAGATGTGTGTGTGTGTGTGTGTGTGTGTGTGTGTGTAGAGAGAGAGAGAGAGGTGGAGAGGTGGGGAGCATTATTACACATTTCTATATACTTAGATGTAGTTCTAAAGCAATTTATTATATTGCTTATGTTTTTGACTTCTGGTCCTTAAAAATGCGCAGTTGTTAAATAATGGTGTGACAGACGGCTCAGGGAAGAGTGTGTTCTTGTAAAATCTAGCAAGATAAAGACAAATATAAAACACCAAGTTCAGCTTAGACATCATAAAAGTATGGCATTCACAGTAAAAGAAAAACAAAACAAAACAACAACAAAAATACTTGCTCCTAGTAGCATAGTTTTGTACCCATTCTATCCATGTTAGCTATGCAAGCCACCCCTAAGGGCTGATTTCAAGCATAGAATGGACTGCCCTAGGTTGGAATTCAGATTCCCAGAACTCTGGGATAAAAAGGCTACTTAAGACATACAGAAGCTGCACACTGAGAACACACTGATGTGTAATTTGTACCACTATCACATTCTTAGCTTGTTGTTGAGGTGCTTCTGTTTAAGGCAGTTTTTGTTTTGTTTTTGTTTTTCGAGACAGTTTCTCTGTTTTGTTTTGGAGCCTGTCTTGGAACTCACTCTGTGGACCAGGCTGGTCTCGAACTCACAGAGATCCACCTGCCTCTGCCCCCCCCACCCCTCGAGTGCTGGGATTAAAAGCGTGTGCTACCAATGGCCGGCTCTGTTTAAGGCATTTTTTACAACTTTAAGTAAACATGTCTCTGAAAGAATTTATACATTAAAGTCAGACTTCTAGAATGGGAATGACAATATATCTGTAAGCATTTGTAAGACTTGAAGTAGATGAATATTTTATTGCTGAAAGCAGTGTACTGATTACATATTTTTATACCTATCCTGAGAGTTCTGAAATAGTTTCCTGTGGTACATTACTGGTGCTCATGCATTTATTTTAAAAGGAAAATATAGTATACTATCATTGAAACAATCATCAAGAGGATTGAGGTTTATGCTCACTTAACAATAATTACATTTTCTTAACACAATGTGTATAAATAAACGTTTTGAAGATCATTTTTTTCTTCACGATTGTAGGCTTTACCAAAATTGACATTGAATATAAATCTTAAAGAAGTTTCTTAATGCAGTGAAAAATGAAATTGCATTAGAAATTATTAACTGCAATCCACTACTGGAGTATTGTATTTACACTAAATGAAGTTCAAATATGCAATTTATATTTATTTATTTATTTATTTATTTATTTTTTTTCAGGAATTAAATTTTTTTTTTTCAACCCAGGGTTTCTCTGTAGTAGTTTTTGAGCCTGTCCCGGAACTTGCTCTGTAGACCAGGCTGGCCTCGAACTCACAGAGATCCATCTGACTCCTGAGTGCTGGGATAAAAGGAGAGCGCCACCAGTGCCTGGCTTCAAACATTTATTTTTAATTTAATGAAATGGGAAATCTGATTTTAATTATAACTGGGATTTTTTTTTTTTTGTTTGTTTTTGTTTTGTTTTTTAATTCCCCGATACAGGGAGAGTCAGTTTGGCGCTGAGAAGGGTCTCTGAGTTTCACAGGAAAATCCAATTGAGAAAAACTGAGGAGAAACTGCCTCAGAGGAAAACACCGATTTTCGAACTTTAAAAATAATAAGGCTGCCCTCACAAAACGTCGAACACAGACAGAGTCGGCTTCCGCCATCTATTCTGCCAGTGAGAAGGCGGAAAACCGGATAGATCTGCCTTTCAAATAACCCTAAAAACAGACTAAAGGTCCTGGGCTCTCTGGGCTTCAACAGACACAGGTGAGGGCGGAGTTATGAGGGGGCGTGGCGGGGGCGTGTCCGGGGTGGAGAGAGACCTGGGTAGACTACCTGAATCTGGCCTTGAGGGGCGAGGTGGGGGCGTGGACAGGGCGCGTCAGGGGGCGGAGCGGGGCCGGCTCTCGTCCTTTAAAAGGGCGGGAGTGCGGCCTGGCCCTGAGCAGACGCTGTCGCGTCGGGGCGCTCATGTCTCTGTCGCGGCCCGAGGGGCCTGCCCGGCCTGCCCGGCCCATCTCCTCAGTGCGGCCTCCTGCGGACCCCGCTGCGACGCCACCCCGCGGCCAGCGGCCTCGACGGGAGGAGGCTGCCGACGTCTCCGAGGCTGGATGGCCGCCGCTTGTAGTGCCTCGCTTGTCTGAGGTAGAAAAAGTATGGGAGTGGTCGCCCAGACCCCTCGCGGCGTTCCTCGTTCCAAAGAACCCGGGGAGCTCAGACAGTGGGGGGCAGCGGCCTGACCTGGGATGGCAGGACAGAACGTTCCAGACGCAGAGCTTTTGGCAGCCCGGAACCTCACGGGCAGCAGGTTGTTCGAGGGCTCTGAGGTCTTGCGGGCTGGGGCTGCAGGGTAGGGAGGCTCTGGGTGTGCGCTGCGGTGACCCCGCAGAAGCGAGTCACTTTCCACCCCACACCTCCAGACCCGATGTCCAAACAGTCAAACGTGAGCCCGAAGAACTTCCTGTCCGAGGGAAGGAAACTTTTCTGAAAGGAAAGAATTCTGTGAGACAGCCAGCAAACCCAATTCTAGATGCTACATTTTCTGAGGAAACCAAGCCAGCATTATGTGACATTAAGGACAAATGTAAAGCTGACAGTGTCATAACCTCAGAGAAAAAAGAAAACAACACTTCATCATCTTCACTAAAAATACCCCAAATTCAAAACCAGGCCCCCTTGGAAAGCGCCAAACCCAGCTATTTTAGAGATAACATCACAATAATTTCCCCTGAGTTTCCACGGGATTTAAATAGCAACATGTCCTTTGTCTATTTAAAGGAAATAGCAAAGAAAGAGAATGACAAAATTGTGGCATATGTTAGGGATTTCACAAACATTTTCTGGTCTCAAAATAAACCCGATGCTAAGAAACAAAAGTTACAGGATGATAAAAAAAATGTACTCATGGAAAATGGTTTTCCTGATGATGAAAGTCAACACCAGTCCCTCACTGTTGAAGGGAAAATAGACTTGATCAATTTAAACTATGATTACCACAGTAGTATCGAGTGTGATGTAAGATACTCTGAAAAGAATTTCACTCTAACACTAGACGATGCAAATTGGGAGGGAACAGAAAGCAATCTAGACTGTTACATACCTACCAGACAACAAGAATCTCAACGCTCGGACTATAATAGAGCTATTTTGAAAAGAAAGCGGTGTAATTGTTGGATAATAAAAAAATATAGGATTATCTGTGAAGCTATAAAAAAACTTGGAGGGGATTTGGATTTGGCACAGTTACTAGAGACTGACCTTTTAAACAAGGGAGACAATCACAATGCAAAAGTCAGAAATGTGCAGGAGGAACAGCCAAAGACTCTGACGATAGGAACTCTGGGTACACTCCCTGATTTAATAAAGGTTGTTTGGTTCAATGGTAAAGGTAAAAACGCCAAAATACTGCAGCTGAGGTACTATACTGCACAAAAATACATCTCAGGAAATAAAGACAATAGTACTGTAACTTGCCATCAAAAGTTGGCATATGAAAAGCAGATTAATATTCAAAAGAGTGACATTTTGAGCAAATTTTCACAAAGTAACTTTGATTCTTTTGTAACAAATGGAGATGACTGGGAATCAGAATTGGAATGCATTTTCAAATGCACAGTGCATTTGAATTGTTTGAAAAGTATTATAAAGGAAAATCATAATGTAGATCTAGCAAGAATGTTTATTTCTTCAAGACCATTAGAAAATAACACAAAATTCATGGCAAAGAGAAGAAAGCTAGTTAAGATGGAGCACTTTCTTGAAGGACCTAAGAGACACAACATTGGTTCTCTTACTGTAGCAACTAAAAGATTTCCAGTTTACAAACCGCATGAACACGTTCCTCTTTTAATGGATTTTGATGACATGGAAGGACTCTCTTTGACAAAAGAACCTAGTTATGAGAATACAAGTTGTCCTGAACGACTCCCAAATGTGGGAAATTGGGCTTGCTATAGTTTTAGTATTGCTAGCACAGATGTGAAGTCTGATACTCTATTTATACAGAATAACTGTGGACATATTAGTGAAAAATGTTATGAAAGTGGTATGTACAATCAGGATTTAGACATTGAAAGGAAGCAGAAGCATAAGGCCCCTCACTTTAAGTTCATATTTGAAGATGTCTTTAATGTTAGGCAACTGGGAACATTGTTAAGCCAAAACACAACACACAGTGACCAGATGAGTGCTATGGCGATAACTCAGAGTCTCAGCATGGAGAACTTAGGTGAAATAGAATGGAAAATGTATGGTTTCATTGTGAACAAGGATGTAAAGGTCTTAGAAAGTTCAAGTAGTTGCCAAGCTCATAAAGCTATAGAGTCAGAGAAGGAAGAGGACAGTTCTCCCCCAATTAGTAGAGTGTCTTCAGTGCATTTAGCTTCAAGAGTGAATAAGAACGGAAATGTGGGAGAAACTCAATCTGCTAATCAAAATAAAGGAACTAACACACAAAAGGATGGAGGTATTTTGCAAGAAAGCAAGTTAGTTCATTCAAAGCATTTGCATCCAGACTCTACATTATACGCTGATCATCAGTTTGAAAGTGATTCTAGTGGAGAGAACAATGGATGTTTGCAGAGCTTAACCGCTAAATGTTTATCAACAGAAACTCTGCCAACAGCAAAAGATTTTGAGATGAAGAGTAAATTTGATTTAGTGCTTGAAGAGCTTCGTATGTTTCATGAAATTAGTAAGGAAGATGAAATTCCAAGAACCCCAGAAACAAACAACAGGAAAGAAAATTACTTTGAAGAAAGTGATGTTAAGGAGGCAAGAATGGAGGTAGAAAAAGATCTAGAAATGGTTGAAATCAATGAAAGAAAAGCACCTTCTTTGCCCTGTGATATGAAAGCAGTCCCCAAACAGCATAAAAACCACCAAGGTTTATTTAATTGGAAACCAATACCTACTCATGGAGGACAGGCAGTTCCCAATGAGTATTGTGTAAGATCAGAGGAAGAATTCCTTCACTCAACTCCTGAGGAAGGTATGCCATTTATTTTAAAATTTCTTACTCATGATAAATGTTAGTGTCTTTTTTTCCTGTGTAAGGAAAATGTATAATTTTTGGCAACACATAAAATAGAAGAAACCATTCATTAACGTATACTATCTCCCACAGAGATCTGTTAATATGTTGGATAATAAACTGAATCTGAAGAAAACAAGTTATTTAAACTGTAAGAGAAGCTCCAGAGTCTTATTTTTTTTAATATTAGGAGCCAAATTGAAGGCACTATTTATAAAAAACACAGTTTGTTAATATCGTTAACATTTGTAGAGAAAAGTTATTTTCTCTAGAGAGGAATTTAGCCAGCTAATTGATGGAGTGACATAAAAGTTAGCTTGAGTTATAATATGTTAACATTTATTTTCAGATTATAAGAATTCTTTCCTTAAAAGGCCTGCTTTTTCTCCTGATGAATATAAAAAAGAAAACTACAATTACTTATTGAAGGGAGGTAAGATCTGTTATTTTGAAGAGTATGTTTTAAGATGACTATCATATTGTTTTAGCATGATGAAAATAGTTTGGCTGGTAGAAAACAAATACAAAAATTTATATTTTGAAAAATACCAATGTTACTAATTTCAATATGTAGAAACTGGCTAGAGATTAGAATAATACTGGAAGTGCTCTCTGCAAACTATGCTCAAATATTTGCAGTAATATATGACAATAGTCTAAGTGATAAGACATTTATAAATGTGTAACTCATCATGTATGTACTGTTAATTGACAAATACCAAATAGAAGAGACTGTCCCAGCTGGACCCCCACTTTTGAAATGTCCTTCCCAATTATGTGCTATATCATTGGTTCTCAACTTGTGAGTCGCAACCCCTTCAGGGGTTGAATGGTTCTTTCACTGGGGTTCTATGTAAGATATTCTGCACATCAGATATTTACATTGCTATTCATAACAGTAGCAAAATTACAGTTATGAAGTAGCAATGAATACAATGCTATGGCTGGGGGTCACCACAACACGAGGAACTGAATTAAGGGGTTGCAGCGTTAGGAATGTAGAGAACTACTGCTCCATATTTTATACCTTTATGGGTTTCCTTATGTAGATATTTTATAAGTAATTTCTGAAGACTGATTTGGGTATGGTGGATTATACCTTAATCCTAGCACTAGGGAGGTATTGACAGGAGACTCTGGGACAGGTTTGAGGCCAGAAGCCAAATACTCCAGCAATTACTTATTATTTAGCTATCAACATGATTTTTGAGTATGACTATTATACTTTTATTTCTAATTGCTATTAAAGAAAACAGTCAAAAGAAAAACTAAACAATTGCCAATAATCCTTACCTAAGAATTTTTCAGTATCAGAATAAAACAAAATTAAGTCTAGTATTTATTCTAACTTGTTTCAATGGGTATAGATAAGGATAGGATTGAATTTAGGGAACAAGGTGAAGTTAGTCTTGTAATATATTTACATAACAATATTAAATCCAAAAAGGCTCCAGTGCAAAGAAAATATATTTACTCAAAAGTCTTCAGTGAGCCATTTCTTACACAACACACACACACACACACACACACACACACACACACACACACACATACACACACATACACACACACAGCTTTTCATCATCAGAAGAATGCTATCTCCAGCACCTTCATTTTTGTCTTTCCCTTTGTCTCAACTTTTGATGAATTAACCTTAAGTATTAGCTGATGCCTTTAGAAGATCAACAGTACAGAAGCAGTCTCTTCTCCCCTGAAAACACGTGAGTCTCAAGAGTTAGGCTGGACAGGTTGGAGTATGCTTCTTCCTGGAAAGACAGGAAACAATTGGATTTAGGAATCTAATTTGATGTAGAATGGAAAGAGGTCAGGAACACACAACCACAGTGTTACATGTTGTGTGGCAGCTGCTGGCTGAACAGGTATTTCACATGTTGTTTAGGCCAGTGTTGCTCTGACTTACTGTGCATATGAATCTCCTGAAGATTGGGTTATATGGTTTTGTTTCCACCGCAGCCAAGTTCTGAGATTCTGCATCTTTAACAATCTCCTAGCAGATGCAGATGCCCATGTTGCTAGGCTGTTGACCACACTCTGTATAGCCTTGACTGTTCTGGAACTCAGTCAGTATACCAGGCTGGTCTGGAACTCAGAGATTCACAAGCCTCTGCCTCCTGAGTGCTGGGATTAAAGACATGTACTACCACTACCAGCTTCATGACATGTTTTAAATACTGACTTTTAAGAAGAATTTCTCACAGTATGCTGTAATGTTTATATTTGTTTAAAAATATGAACAATAAATTAATCAAACATATAGCAATAAGGAAAGGATCATGATTTATTCTTCAAAGGGTATATTAACAACAACATAGCTTAGTGAAAGAGACCTACTACTGATGGAAACTAGTATAGCCATTTTCCATCCATTGTAAAATTACTATAAGTTACTATTTATATTAAATATAAGAGAGGAAAGTCATACTTTGAAAAAATGATTAATTTTGGCTTTGCTCTGAAATAATCTTATGAAAAAATTTCATTTTATGTAAAATTCCAAGAGCCATATAATATATAAACAAATATAGTATGTCAGCATGACCCAACAATATAATCTGATTTTGGGCATCCCTTTAAGTTTAAAATCTTTATAAAAAGTTATTAATAATGTTTTTGATTATCATTAAATTTGCAATTTTAGTGGTACATTAAGTATCTAAATGGATTTATAACTTTCTTCAGGGGCTAACTTGTTTTTTTCACCTTATTAATATGTAGTTAAAACTTGGAATCTGTTTCATAAATGGTTATACAGATATATCTGGTTTGCTCAACTTTGAAATCCTGGTGTTTACTTTTTGTTAGATTTAATAAAATTGGTTTAACAAAATGTCATCAATGGGTTGATGACAGGGTTTTGAGTATAATGTAGCATTAAAGTCATACTAATTCATTAAAGCCCAATTTATCTTTGAGACTTACAAATGTACTATATAGCTTATCTGGGGAAAAAAAAACCTCTTAAGTATAATGCAACATATCTACCTGTCTAAGTTAACTGGTATAGAGAAAATACAGCTCTGTGAAATATTTGAATTTCTGGGAAAGTGATGTAGTGTGATGTTAAATAAAACTAAAGATCAGAGTAATTCATAGCTGAACTTATACTTGTAGTCCATTAAACAATAATCTCTATTAGAGACCAAATATAACCATTAACAACATGGCAGAATTGCTTAGCTTCTAATTGAAAAATGACATGCATAAAGCACTGTATCAAGATGGCTTAAATCTTATTTTTTTAGTTTATTGTTCTTGTGTCAGAGTTCCTGAGTGGAATACTGATCTTAGGTAGGTGTTATAGACAGACAGGTTCCCTACTCTTCCTGTACTTACTTTCCATATTTTAGAATGGGATATACTAGGATTAAATGCAACAATGCATTAGTGATTGGTGTGTAAATCCCTAGCAAATGTGGCTAGTGTCATGATTAGAATAAGGACTTTTAAGCATATTGGTAATTTTTGCTTCTTGATGTAAATTATGTTGTTGTCTTTGCAGGCAGTCATTTTTCACATGGCATTTCCAGAATACAGCCTCTTAAGACATGCAGCCGTCCAATTAGAGTCGGTTTGTCAAGAAGAGCTAGCCTGAAACAACTCCATCCTTATCTGAAATGAATGGGTTATAAGGATTTAAAGATGCTCCAGGACTTTAATAGCTCAGCATGTCTTGGAATGTTTTAGTTCTTATTTGTAGAACTGTTTTCTTTCAGCTTGGAGATTTTGTGCTTTCTTTATAAAGTGTAGAGAGGTTCTTTTGTGTTAGATTATTTTATTACCATTAAAAGAAAACTTTTCACTGCTATCTTCATGTCTTATGATCGTTATACTCATTAAAGTATTTTTGTGATCTTATAAACTATTTCAGCTTCTTAGTTTTCATGACATGTATGCAATCCCTTTATAGAGAAAAATCTAAAACTTTTACTTTCTGTTAGAGTCTATGGGTTATAAAAAGGCAATGAGCCACTGTTGTAACCTACTCTACGTTTTGTCAGGTATGGAGGTCATTCCCTCCCTCCCTCCTTCTCTTTGTCCCTCCCTCCCTCCCTCATCTTCCTTCTTCCCTCCACACAGAATATCGTGTAGCTCAGGCTGGTATTAAACTCCCTATTAAGCTGCTGCTGCTGCTGTCCTTGACTCCCTTGCCTCCAGAGTGCTGCCCTGTGCTGTAGCTTCCCTCCTGCCCTTGAGATTTGTAGAGAAATATAGAATACACATATTTTAAAAGTAACTATCACTAGAATAAAGCACAATTAAAACACTAGACAAATAACATATTTACATGTTTAGAAAAAGTTAAGGAAAGAAAGAAGTATCAAGAAAACATAAGATGGTTGGAGAGATAGCTCAGTGGTTAAAAGCACTGCCTGGTCTTCCAGAGGTCCTGAGTTCAATTCCCAGCAATCACATGGTAGCTCACAACCATCTGTAATGAGATCTGGTGCCCTCTTCTGGCCTGTAGGCATACATGCAGGCAGAACACTGTATACATAATAAATAAATAAATAAATAAATAAATGAAATCTTAAAAACAAAAAAGAAAACATAAGAACAGCAAACAAGGTCAGGGCTACCTCACTCAATATATTTTAGAATTACATCCAAAAGTAGGCAGAAATGCATCAATCCACAATGTAAATATGGCTGCATTAATGACCACCAGCAAATGTTTTCAGACCCACTAAATTAAACTTTGGCTCTATTCATTTCATCTGTTTTATTCTATTCTCTGTGGAACACTTTCTAACTCCAACATCCTTCTGTAATCCCTCCACCCTATCTTTGCTTGAGAACTCAGCAGGTAACACCCCAATTTAGGCTTTACTAAAATGAAAGCTTTTTTCTTTTCTTAAACTACTATTTTTGTGTATATGAATGGTTTGCCTGAATGTCTGCCTGTGCACCAAGTGCATGCAGTGTCTTCGAAGACTATAAGAGGACATCAGATCCTCTAGAACTGGGGCTGCAGACCATTGTGAACTGTCATGTAGGTGCTAGGAATTTTATTTGGTTCCTCTAGAAAAGTAGTCAGTCAGTGTTGTTAACTGGAACGTCACCTCACTAGTTTCAGAATGTAAGCACTTGAAGGTAGGATTGTCCCCACCCCACCACCACAAAAATATATCGCAGGTGCTTAAAACTGTATCTGTTCCCAGTAAATGTTCCTATTATTTGACTATAAATGAAAGAAATTCTTCTCTTGTCAAGTAACAGCAATGCCATTTAACACTCTTTTTCTTTTGGTTATTGAAGATTACATTTTATGTTGACAGATTAAATTGTATTTTTAAGTGGTATGACAGGATCTTTGAATCACATTGTAGGAGAGTTAAGTCTAGCTAAATTAGCATATACATTAATATACAGTTATTTTTCTGGCAAAAACAATTGACATCCACTCTAAATATTCTCAAAAGGTTTTGACTTTGGGCAAACACATGTATCTTAAAAGGAAATCATAATATTCTATCAGATAATTGTAAGAATTGAACTTGCTAATGCGTGTGGACTTGGAACAGCTCAGAAACAAGGTTAGTGCTTAACCATAAATATTTGTTGATACATAGTAACAAACTACTCCATAATGGGGGTATAGGACTCTTGCCTCCTTTCTCTTTTTTCTCTTTCTCCTCCTTCATGCTTCTTCTCTCTTTATTTACTTGGTGTTTCAGACAGTATCTAACTGTATAGCCCAGGCTGGCCTCAAATTTGCCTTTGCCTCTCAAATGCTGGGATTACAGTGTGTGCTACTGTGACCAGCTCATGAGACATTTCTCTAATTATGCAGACATTATATATTTTCATTTACATTGACATATATTACTTCAAGGTAGAGTTCACACTAATAAATTGCCTTTTTTTGGACTAGAGGAAATTATATATATATACATATATATATATACACACATACATATATATATGTACATATATATATATATATGAGAGATGGACACTAAATTATATTATACCCTGTGTTGGGAAACACCATCACTTGAAGCCATCTTTGCTAGACTCCAGTTGTTAAAGGCATAGCATGTATTGTAGGAGAGCATTTGGAACCCTAACCCTAACTCTAACCCTGCCTCACTATTGTTGCCTTGTTTGTTCCACTGAAGACATACTGGCTTTACTGTTTCTTGAAATGATAGAAACACTGCTTCCCCAGGCCCTTTGCACTTGCCTTCTTTTTCTGGAATGCATATTAAGCTAGTACTATAGCTTATTCTGCCCCTTCCTGAGACCTTGATGAAATGTATTAAGTGTATTAAATGATTAACAGCATCTTGCCTCTACATATTTCTATGAATGGTAATATTGTTAAAAAGCATGTAGGGTATTTTAGAAATACTACACTTAAAATTACATATTTGTCACTTCATTTTATTTATTCTTATCTTTTCCTTAAATATATATCTTTCTATAGTAGATTTGATTATTATAGTGTCTTTAATTCATTAACTTGTGCATTTCAGGATCTTAAAAATTTAAAAAAAGAAAGAGTATCTTTTTTACATAAAAACTATTTCATACAATAAATTTTGTTTATCTTCTTTCCTTCCCCACAGCTCTAACTTTCCATCTCGCAACTTCTTATTATTTCTCCTTCTCTCTAAAACTAGGAAAAAAAATAACAAAAAGCAGAAAATCAAAAATAAAAATATACAAACTAACAACAACAACAACAAACCAAAAAGAAAAAACAGCACCCCAAAATAAAATCAACAGAACAAAAGATAGTCAAGCAAAACAAAACAAAACAAAACAAAACAAAACAAAACAAAACAAAACACATTCACTCATGCACAAAACCCCATGGAGTCTGTCTTGTGTTGGCCAGCTATTTTTTCTTGGCATCATCCATCACTGCTGGCTTTCAGAATCTTTCAGCCTTTTCTTCTGCAGAAGCACCTGAGCCTTGAGGGAGGGGTTTGAGGAAGACATTCCATTTATGACTAAGTGATATAAAGCATCTCACTCTCTGCACATTGTCCAGTTGTGGGCATCTTTGTTAATTACCATCTACTCCAAGAAGCAGCTTCTCTATTGATGCCGAGTGATGCTCTGAGTGTCAGCATAGCAATATATCATTTCATTGATATCTTCCTGTAGCAGAATAATAGTAGTAGGTTTTCCCCCTAGGGCTATGGTTTACCTAGTCTTAGTTCTTGGCCACTTTAGCACTGGTACATAGTTTTCACTGTTAAACAAATTTGAAAAGTTAAAAAAAAATTTGTGATTTTTAAGTAAAATTACATTCATCCTTATTTAGTTAATTTGCTTCTGCAGTGCTGGAGACTGATCCTAAAGCACTCTACCACTAAGCTATAATCCAAGCCCAAATTGTGTTAATTTTTATTTTTTTTATTTAATTATGTTTTATTTTACATGTCGATCCCAGTTCTCCCTCCCTCCCTCCCTTCTTCCCTCCTTTCCTCTTATCCTCTCTGCCCCTCACATGCACCCTGACCACCCTTCCCTCCCATCCCCCACCCCAATTCCACATGTAGGGCAATGCCATACAGGTGGGGCCATGTAGATCTGTCAGGTCATTTGAAGTAGGGACTAGGTTAAGGGATGTGTTCACAAGGTCCTTTTGTGCACAAGGAATACATCCTGGTTTCACTCTCTGAGGTCCCTTAGACTGCTCAGTCCTTCTGGCTGAGATCCATATTCAGGGGGGGCCTGAGTCAGTCCCATGCTGGATTCCCAGATATCAGTCTGGGGGTCCTGTTAGCACCTCCTTGTTCAGATCAGCTGAATCTATATGTTTCTGCATCCTGGTCTTGTCATCTCCGTCTGCATCTGGGTTCTAGTTTGACTCAGTGTTTAGGTATGGGTGTTTGTTTCTGTTTCCAACAGGTATTAGATGAGAGCTCCATGGATAAGATAGTTGTTGATGCCACTATCCGGGAAGGGCATTTATGGTAGCCTTTCCACAGATGCTCAAATTGTTAGTTGGTGGCAGTCTTGTAGGTCTCTAGACCTTTCTTTAGGTTCAGTATTCTCTTCAAACCAATATTGGCTCCCTCTTTTATGTTCTCTCTCTCTCTCTCTCTCTCTCTCTCTCTCTCTCTCTCTCTCTCTCTCTTTTGTCTTCTATTCTTAACCTACTCAATCTTCCTAGTCCCAGTGCTTTCCTCTGCTCCCTCTCTTTCTCCTACTTCTCTATCCATTTACTGCCCCCTTCCCACTTCGCATGTACTCTGGGGGACTTGTCCCTTCCCAGTTCTGTGAGGGACTTTATATGAATATCTTAGAATACAATTTGTATCCTAGTTCCTCTGGTGGTGTGAATTATAGGCTGGTGATCCTTTGCTCTAGGTCTAAAATCCATAAATGAGCAATATAGCATGTTCCTCTTTTTGTGACTGGGTTACATCATTCAGGATGGTTTCTTCAAGTGCCATCCACTTGCCTGCAAATTTCAAGATTCAGTTATTTTTTCCTGCAGAGTAGTATTCTTCAGTTGATGGGCATCTAGGTTGCTTCCAGGTTCTTGCTATTACAAATAATGCTGCTATGAAAATATTTGAGCAGATGTATTTGTTGTATAGATGTGGATCCTTTGGGTATATGCCTAAGAGGGGGATTACTGGGTCCTGTGGTAAACTAATTCACATTTTCCT